ACAGGCTGGGCTCTGCTCCCCCTCTGCGGCGTGCCCTCCCCTCTCTTCCCCGCCCCGCCGCTCCGGTCCGGCCCCCTCAGCAGCTCCTCCTGACCCGCGGGGATTCCTCCCTGCAGCGGTGCCGATGCCAGAGCTGAAGGGGGCTCTGCCTGGTCCTCCCGAGGCCATCTCCGGCCTCCAGCCGGGCCCACAGCCCCTTCCCGGCAATCCTGGCCTGAGGGAAGTTTCCCTTTCCCCTCATAACTGTTCTCACCCGAAGGTGGGCCAGGGTTGTCCTTCAGACATTATTCTTTATTCCCTAGCATGGGTCTGACAGAGGTAAAAGAGATCCTGGCCGCAGGTCGCTAAACGTGCCTTTGCTACTTGCTTTTCAGGGGGCTTTAGAAAGGATCGGTTGCAGCTTAAAGATCAGCCAAGCCTGAGGTATTTTTGCTTCTGGTTTCAGATTTAATGTTTCCCTGAAGAAAAAAAGAATGCGTAATATCTGTGCTGCTTCTACTTTGTACCTTGTGATACTTCATAATGAAAGGGCCAATTCTGTTTGGGGAATTAGTCCAAACATAATCTGAAATAATGCTTAAATCTGAACAGACTAATATGTTTTTAAGGGTTTGGGTGAGGAGGGACAGATGCTATTAGCTTCGAAAGAAATAATCCTTGTTCTTATTTCAAACGGGCGTGAGGCAATCAGCCGTGAGGAGGGTGACAATGAGCTCCAGACGACTCCAGAGTTCAGAGCACACGTTGCAAAGAAACTGGGATCCATGCTAGACAGGTACTGGCATGCAAAGCTAGGAAAGTATTCTGTGGGTCAGTTACACTGAAGTGCTTGTTCGCTAAAGCCAGGAAGTTCAATGTCTTAAGTACAAGCTTCCAGTATTCTGGGACCTAACCTTGCTGATGTGCTGTGCCCATCTGGTCAAAACGCCCTGTGCAGCACTGCTTGTCTCCATTTGCCTCTGTGGTGAGCATCTTGTGGGGAGAAAAGAGAATTTGGGTGCCTTAGCACTTCCATCATGTAAAAGTTGGCAGAAGAATCTTTGATTTGTTCTTGCAACCTAAACCAAACCCTGGTTCAGGGTTGTGCTGGCAGAATGGCTGCCACTCTCCATCTATTGTGCAATAGAACAGTTTCTGGAGAACTGCTGTTCAGGAGCTGGCTTTAGAAACACAGTTTCTAAATCATTCTTGTGGCTTGCATTGCTGAGGAGAGAAGGCCTAGTCTGCTCTGGAAACAGGGAGCTGAGGCAGCCTAACTAACAAAAAAAGATATATGCAACATCTCCCTCTAGTCTTGTTTCCCAGAAATATCCAACTTTAGCTCAGTTTGCACAAACCTGTCTAAGATCTGACTGGGATTTTCTGTTTAGCTTCATCACTGTCTTCAAGGACCCATCAGGACCATCACAGACTTCGGTGGCACAGTCTGACTCTGAGGATGATGGTGAGTTCCAGTCTCAGCCATTGTGGCTGTTTTGTGACTGTTAGCTGCTGACAGGTGGGATGGATCCTGTCCATCACCAGCTGTACATCCAACTTTTAACATTTGCACTAAAAGAATTTCTGTTAGTGAGGGCTGTTACTTTGCAGCTCTGACCTCTGTGCCGCAAGTCCTCCCCCACAGTCCCAAATAATTGCTGTTAAGCACTGTGGGGATACAGTAACAGCACTGTAGCTTCCAGGGAAACAGCAGTTGATTGTTTCCACCTCTGTTTTATATTCTACCTAAACCCCCCCTTTCCATACTTCAGGTTTTCGCCTCTTCTCTTCCTCTGTCCCTGGAGACTGTGGGAAACCGGAGCCTTGCCCTGCAGCAAGGAGGAGGAGGCCAGTTAGCTCCAGGTGAGGTGCTGGAAGCTGTTTTGCTCCTCAGGTACTGTTGCATCCCACATTTCAGAGGCAGCTGGGACTCCCACAAGGGATTAGGAAGCTGAAGAGCTAGAGAAGTGTGTATTTATGACTTTTATATTTGACTAGACCAGAATTTTGTTTCTTATTTAGTGCTGGGGAAATAGAAATGTTTGTGGGAGATTTTCTTTCCCTCCTGGTATGGAGGGGAAAAGAACACATTGGCTTTCAGACTGGTTAAATGCAAACTGTAGGTGTGGGGGTCCCAGAGCCACTGGTACCCATTTATCATGTGTTCTCATCTCAGATTACTCTGCTGTCCAAGTTTTGGCTGAATTCAAGGCAGAAGTGCAATTCAACTTCCTTCCCTCTTGTTACCTTTCCAGTGACTCAGACAGTGACCAAGAGTGGCAAAGGTACCGGGAGGCTGCCGTGTCACCTGCAGATATTCTGAAGCAAAGTGCTTTTCCTGCATTGTCCCAGGGTTCCAGCCAGGATCAGAATCAGAGCTATGTAGAGCCCAACCAGAAAAAAAAAAAGAAAAAGAAAACTGGGAGACAGAACAATATTCAAGAGAAAATAATAGACCCAGCAGAGTGTGACCAGATCTGCAAAGATTTGCCTCGGTTGGTGTCTGCAAATGGCCAGCAGGAGAGACAGGACAGCAATCACAGAGAGAACTCTGTGCTGCCAGGAGCTGTGAAGAAGAAAAAGAAGAAAAAAGAACGATGATTTTGCTCTACAAACGGCAGGTGGTTGTGATGGGTGAGGGAAACTGAAAGAAAACCTAACAACAAGATTTGCTGCAGATGAGGGAAAATTAATTGGCAAAGCTTCTGCTCTAGAAGCTCAGTGGCCTGAGAGACTAATTAAGTGACTTCCTGTGCTACTGGCATCCCCAAGGAAGGGAACATTGTTCTCCTCACAACAGCAGTTGTCTGTGCTGCTGCTTATGCAGGCCCAATCTAAAAGGATTAAATACTGTGCCAGACTTGCATGGCAGAGGGATGTGATCATAGCTGCATTCCTCCTGGTCTGTTCTTCATATCATGAAACTCTTCTGGAGAAAGTATATGATGAATTGAATTTGGTTTACATGGCAACAGGTGATCAACTGCTTTTTCTCTTTGCCTCTTTGTAAGACTACTGAGAATAGCTCCAGCCCGTGGGAGACTCATTTATCAAAAGCATCCTGTCAGAAATCAGGGCCCCTTATTTTTTCCCTGCGATCATCATAGCAATCTGTTGTTGAAACCTGCTGTGTTACTAATCCCTCTGCAATCTGCACCTCTCCAGGGCCCCTGCACACAAACAATGTGTGGTGAGCTGATTTCAGGGTTGGTGTAAATGTATCCTACTGTTCCAGTTGTGTCCACTGAAAATTTTTTTCATGTATAGGGTTTTTTTTTTATGGCATCTGTTGTTATTAAATTTTACTACACTCTTGGACCTACTTAATTTGATAGGTTTTGTACAACAGTGACTTTCTTGTTGTATTCAGATTCTCTCCAGCAGAGACAGAGGTGGCTTAGGATGGCTTTTTTGTTGCTGGGTGATCGATGCTATGGAATTGCTACAGGAAGGACTTAAGCCTGATTTAAAAACCACACTTCAGTTCTTGTTTGAGCTGGTTAATGACTTTCGTCTCTCTGAAATACTGTGAGGTTTGGTAGTTTTCAGTATGACTCTTTGTCTGTTTATTCTTCACTTCCAGTCTTTTGGGAAATTAGCTGTTACTGATAAATACTCTATTTCTGTTTTTAAGATTCCTGGGTTTCAGTAAATCCAATTTACTGGCCCAGTTCAGAAGATCAGAAAGCCAGATTAGAGAAACCAAAGGAGTGAAGTATAGCTCTTTGAGCATGGGAAATCGTTATAAGATTCTTGCTGGTTTTTAGTCAAGAAAACACAGCTGGCATCCAAAAATAGAAAAGCTAAGTAGAAAATTGGCTTGTAACCTAACAGAATGTGCCAGCAGAAGTTATTTGTGTTACAAACTTCAGTGTACTGGATCTTAAACCTGGGCTTTCAAATGCATGGTGGCCTAAACATTTCCTCTTGATTTGTTTTGGGTTTATTTTTATGCTAACTGGAAAATAGATAGATTTGCAACTGATGTACATGGGAAATCAGGAAACAATTCTAGGATAAAATTCCTCAGAGAATCTAGTTACAGAAACTGTTGATAGTATCTAGAGGAAGCTCTTATCAATGAAACTTTTCACAGACATCAGCAATTTTGACGTTCCCAGGTATGATAACTGAAGAGTTCACTGTTGGGCTTTTTCAATTCTCCCAGTCTCAAGGTTTTTCATCCATTTCACAGTTGAGAGAGAAGCTCAGTTTCAGTCATAGACAAAAACCTGTTAGTTGGGGTTGTTTTCATGTCTGGCTAATGACATATCAGTGATGTGGATGTTGAGAGAAAATAGAGAAGAATAATTAGAAGAGGAATTACAGAAGTAGATCCTTGGGACTAAAACCCTTCACTTAGTGCAAGCAAGACTCTTAGACCCCAGGGTAGTTATTTGCATACCAAGAACTACAAATGAAGCTTACGTGGAAGCTGAGAATGAGCCATGTTCTGTAAAATTAATCCAGGCTAAGTGTTTATAGAGAAAACTGAAGGAACCTCTACTCTTTGTGGAGCATGGGAACCTCTCAGGTGCTGGGCAGTGTCAGGGACCAGTGGGGAATGCCATCCTGCAAATAATTTAGCAGATAGCTAAATTATATAGCAGATTATTCATAGCAGATGAGATGAGAATTCACAGCGTTAATGCAGAGAACTGGAATCTCCTTGCAGTTGTTAAACTTTAATTTCTGCATTTAAAACAAAGCAGAGCTATATCAAAAACAACCAAGCCATTTCCACTAGGATAGCATGATTTTAGAGGAGGTCGTTTTTAACTGAGAATGTTTGGTATTTTGGTAGTTAATTCAGGGTTTGTAGCTTGTTGGTGACCCCATACTCAAAGGTTTGTGCCAAGCCATTCTCAAATCTGTTTCTTGGTTGCTCTTGTTGCAAAGTCAGAAACTTCCAGGGTGCTGTTATTTATTCTAGTTCCTGTTGGTGCTTCCTTGCAGCAAAGGAGGAGAGTGTTTAAAGGTGGTCCCTTCTTTGGCAGCTCAGCTTTGCTCTTTCCCACATGATTTAGCCTGGTGTTGGCAGGTTTGTACAGGCCCAGCTTGATCAAAGTACAGCTGAATGAAAGTCCCATCCACGTCCTGGCAGCGTTGGGATTCCTTCTTGGGCAGCCACAAAAGGATGTCTGGCCATTCTGAGCTGGCTCCTGTGGTGTAGGTTTGCTGTTTTGGGAGAGGGGGGGACAGTGGAGTTTAGCAGTTCCAGCATCATCTTTCCATGTTTTCTGTCTTGAGCCTGAGACGTTTTCTCTCCTGAAGGCAGCTGAGAAGGGGCTTGTGTGCAGCTGTGGTGGCAAACACGGCTGGAGTCACACCTTGGCAGGTTGGTGGTGGCAGTCGCTCAGGAGCTACTTGTGGTGGTTACTGGGTGGAAGATGCCATCTGTGTGGAGATGAAGGTCTCAATGACGTTGTGAGTGGATGGCAGCAGCTGGCTGTGGCTGTTGGTGGAGTCGGAGCTTTGGTACAGCACCAGGCTGCTGGAGGACACTGCCAAAGGTACAGGCAGAAGTCAATTGCAGATTCTCATCAGTCCCCTAATTGTGTGTGCACACCCCCCACTTCCAGCATGGCTGTGCTCTCCTGGCTTAAGGGCAGAGCTGCTTTTCTGTGTGTTTTGTGTGCTGCTGAATAGCTGGCTTGGGTCCACAGCCAGCCTGAAAACATTGAGGGCAGCAATCTCTAGAGTGTTCAGTTCTAGGAATTCCAGTTGATGTCCCAGTTCTCCTCTTAGAACTGGGATGACCCAATTGGAGCCTTCACAAGAGAGTCTTGGGCTTCTCAGCCCTGAAAACTGCCCACAGGACTGGGTACTCATTGACACTGATTTTGTTGATATTTTTCAAAGTATTTTCCTTTCTAGATTCTGAAGGGGCCAATTTCCACAGTCTGGCCTTACATGGACTCTGCTCTGAATCTTCATTGTATTGACTTTTCAAACCCCTCAGGACACTGACAGAGCCAATTCAGGGAATTGTGAACCCAAATTACCATTTTGTAATTGTATTTTACAGTGTTGGCAAGAAAAACTAGGCAATACATGGCTTAACAGCCACAATAGTGGCTGCTGCTCTTACCAGCAGGGCTCGAGGTGAGGCGTGGGGCTGGCTGAAGGTGCTGGATGGTTGTGTCCTGGTTCTGTAGATGGATTGTTGGTGCCTGTGACACTGGTGTGTGCATCCCAGACTCAGTGTGAGTCTCTGAGTCAGGTGTGAATGCCTAAAGAAAAGAGAGTTAATAGTGCCTGGCTTCTATATCCCTTCTAACAGCTGTGAGAGAAGCACTGAGCAGGGGCAGTTTCTGGGGAGATGAAATCCTCCTTGGTGATGCAGTGAAGAACTTGCTCTAGTGCCCCCAGTACTGCAGCTGGTACCAGCAAGGCCAGGAGATAAAAAAGAGGCTTCTGCTGGGATGGCATAGACACACCCAAAAACTCTTTGACATGCAAGGGGCTGCCTGCAGACTGGTGCAGCTCTCAGGAGGGGGAACAAAGGCTGAATAAAGGCTGTTACCTGTTTAGTTGGTGTCAGGTTGGTCAGGGCGCTGAGATTGGCTGTGTCTGTTATCACCATGGTTTGTGGTAAGAGGCCTGTGTGCGTGTATTGAGTCACTTCAGATTTGGGGCCGTAGAGAGCTGTATATGAAAGAAAACAACATCATGTGGATGCTGGAGCTCTGGCTGAGTTGTTCTCCTCATGCAGTGGGACCTGCTGTCTGTCTCCAGAATGCTGGGAGTGGAGGGACAGGGAGATAAATGCAATAGAAAAATAATTTCATAATTAGAGCTACAATAACAGAGGAGAAAAACAGAGAGCTGTAAGCTCAAGGACCAGCAAATGCTCCAGAACAGTGTCTTTATTTTTGTTTACTTAAGCAAATGAGCTCAAGTTCTTACCGTGAGGGTTCTGTATCTGAGCCATGGTCGCCATGAAGGGGCTCTGGTTGATGTGGCTCTGGACTTGCTGCATGAGGGGCTGCTGGTAGGATGGGTGCAGTTGCTGGGAGAACTGGACAGGCTGCAGGGTAGTGAGGCTGCTCCCCATGCTGTTTATTACAGGAACACTCTGGGGCTGGGTTGAGGCCAGGCCTGGAAAACAAGGATTGATGCCAGTGGTGTCCCACACTGCAGGAAGAGAGTGGCTACTCTGCAACAGGGACATCTGAAACAGCCATTGTGGCAGCCTGTCACTGCAGGGTGATTCCAGATCCTGCTTTTCAGGTGTTCTTTTGGTTGTCTGTGTTTAAGAATAGATTTCATGCCTGTGAGAGCAAAGTGGAAATGTCCAAAAACTGCATAAACCCACCTCTGATTTCCAGGGCTTGTCCTTGTCTACATCCTTGTGTACCAGTATAGCCCCTTTTCAAGTTTAGTGATCACCAGGGAGGCCTTGCTCAGAAATAAATTCAGAGCATCACCTCAGTGCCCAGTTAATTTACTCTTTTTGTTTTATGAAGCTGTTGGCAACAGACAACTAGGCTGTAGCTGTCCAGCCACGTAGAATGGAGTTTCAACTCTTTTTGCTAGGGCTGCCAAATTAAGGAATTTGAATCAGTGAGAGAGGTAGAAGGTTTCACACATTACTGCCCATTTCCCACAGCTGTCCAGACCCTGTTCCTGTAAATCAGCAGGTCTCCCCAGCACTCCAGTTTTATCTTTTTTTTTGTTTGCACAGAATTCAAATCCATATCATAATCTTGGGAAGAAATGAAAATTAGTTCACAGCTGTCACCATGGAACAAAACAAGACATCTTTTTTCCTGGGAAGAAAGTGTAAGAGAAGAGTATACATTTTATTTTCCTTTCTCTAATGAGATGCACTTTGGCAGTAGACTAGTTTTGGAATGAAAAGGAATCTCATAAAAGTCCAGAAAAGCTGTCAAAGTGAAAAATACAAAAAAATAGTAATTACTGCTGTGGATTCCAAAGGCATATGCTTCTCTTTGCAGGAAGTGGAATGGGATGTTTTGTCTTTCAAACACTATAAACATGTTTCAATTTTCATCATTTTAAGGCAGTATTATACTTATATTTGGAAAGATGAAGAGCAGCAAACCAAAACATTGGCATAGAAATAGATTGTAAAAGTCTCTTAAAATGTGGGTTTTGTGTATAACTTAATTCTAACATGAATGAGGAACATCTGTCCTTAATCCCACTGGTACTTGCCAAGAGTGCTGCTGATCTTTGGTGACAATTTCCTCAGGTTTGTATCACTGCAAGGCTGTGAAAAGGGGGCAGGTAATGGTAACAACGAGAGGCAGCTCTTCCTGCAGGTGCTGGAAGCAGAGTCACTGCAGCCGCTACTCACCGATCACCAGGGTGGAGGCTCCGGTGTTGGTGAAGGCGGGTGTCAGGGACGGGGTCTCGCCGGCCCCGATTGCCATCACCCCCGGCAGGGATGCCATGATCAGGTTCTGGGTCTGCTGGCTCAGTGTGTGTGGGCTTTGCTCTAGGCTGTGCAGGGCAGTCAGGGTGCTGACAGGAGGGAGAGTTCCGCCAGGAGCTGATACCTGTGTGAAAGGAGAACCCTGAACGTGCTGCCTGCAGCAGGCGAGTCCCAAAGCTGTGATAAACACCTTTTTTCCTGCTCTTCCCCCTTGCTAACTGGAAAGGCTTCACATATCCTTGTCTGCAGTTTCTGTGTGCTCATTGATTAACTAGCACAGGTCAGCTGTTGACATACTAAGAGTAAATCCCTGCTGGTTTAGTTCTTCCAAGTTTAAGAAATTGTAAGAATGTGATTAAGCTCACTGCATTCTCTGTAGGAAAAGATCATCTATTTCATAGCTGAGGGCAGAAGGTGAAGTTCAGAGAAATTAAGAGGCTCATGTAACTTTCAGCACAGAATCTAGGAGTTCCTCTTTCTTTTAGAGATCTGTAGTCATAATCTTGTTGAAGAGCAAAAAAGCATTCTAATAATTTGGCTGATAGAGAAAGCTAAGTGCCTTATATTATACTTCTCTCTCCCCTCAGACAAAAAGCTGTAAGGAAGCTTTAGTAAGGATATGCACCAAGAGGTTAAACACTGGGACAAACCACCTTGATATCAGTTCTAGAAGACAGACATAGAAGATTTTCAGGACCTTGTGAAAGACTAATTTTCTTCAGCAAGAGACCAGAAAGCCAGCAAAGTGAGTGACTGATGAGATTTAAATCATACTTATTTTTAGCAACCTTAACTTTGCCTCTGGCCAGCCTGTGCTAATGCAGACTTCTGCTGACTGTTTCTCTGAAAGCAAGGGAACGTGTGCAGACTGAAAATGATCAGTCATGTAGTTCTGGTGCTTCTTTGTAATGGTGGGGGAAAAGATCTGGTCAGATCTTTCAGATGATCTCTGAAGGAAATTGGCTTTGAGGAAGCAATCTAGTTATCCAGTACATTTCTGCATCCAGGCTGTTTGGCTTCATCTTTACAGGTAAGATAGATGTAACTATGGGTTTGTGTTCTGGTAACCCCACTGGTCTGATCAACTCTCTTGAGATGGGTAGAGTCCAAACTGGAGTTAGAGATGAGATGAGAATCTCTTTGTGGAAAGGAAGAGAGAACAGGGTTTCCTGGGAAGAAGGAAATGTTGCCATACCTTGAGTGCTGTGTTTCCAGAACAGACTGTTTTAGTTGCTCATAAGGAAATGTCTTCGTGTCTTTCATGCTCTAATACCTGCCAGTCTGTGGATCTCAGGGCTATTGATCTTACTTGGTCAGTGTAAAGTGACTCTAATGTAACATACAGTTATATAAGATGTTATGTAACAATATGTTACATATGACTATGTAACATAAGAAGGTGGGCTTAAGAACATTCTAGAAAAAAATACCCATGAATAGTTCATATTATGAGCACAGGCAGATGATCTGACATCTTCCAGTCAGCAGAACTGAAGCACCCATCACTTACCAGCTTAGTGTCTGTGCTCAGCAGGTTCTGGCTGGGCTCCAGTCCAGGGGGAGAAACCTGATGCAGGATGGTTTGAGTGGTCACCATGGAGCTGTTCCCATGGTGGTTGCTGCTGGAGGACTCTGCCTCGCTGGCTGGCTGCTGGTTGTACCTCACTCCTGCATCACAACAGGAGGGAAACTGGTTGTCACAAGTGAGAAACTGAGAAACTTAGGCAGCCACTAAATTCAGTTTCCTTTGCAGGCACTTGTCACCAGATACTTGGGCAGATACTTCGTGGTCAGTAGGGGAACCAGAGGAACAGGCACTCACACCCTGCCCTGACTTTCCCCTGTAATTTGGTGTAGCTGCTCCCTCAGACACTGCCTGGCTGTGAGTGCTGTGGGGAGCAGGAAACCACCCCTCTGGATGTGGCTGCAGAGAGGAGTCTCAGTGAGATCATCTCTTCCCAGAGCAAGGGAACCCCCCAGCTCTGCCTGTGAAGCTGAAAAAACTGTGCACTTTTTGGGTGGAGAGTGACCTTTCCTCATGCCTAAAACCTCTGTCACAGAGTCTGATGGGGCTGGCATTGAAAGGAGTAAGGTGCACACTTAAAGGGCATGGAGCTGACTTCTGATGGGCAGTGATGACTCCTGGAACAGGAAGTTTGGGGTTGATGCCTGCCAGCTGGGGGGGCCTCACAGTAAGTGAGAAGCTCTGGCTGTGGGTTTTGTTACTGAATTTTATCTCCCTTGACATTCTAGCCACTCTCTTCACCCAGAAACATGGTCTCTTTGTCACCTTTGTTCTTCCCTTGTAGCAAATCCGCTTTTTCTATCTGTAGATCCATTTCCTAAAGGGTTGGACTTGGGAAAGAGTTCGGATGACTGAGTTTGGGGAGGTTCACCCCTCTTTCAGATCTCCCTCTGGTTGTTTCTTACCGTGAACTTTGCTGGGTGAGAGAGCAGGTGGTGGCTGGAGGGAGGAAGAGCTGTGGGGAGTTAGAGAAGGGGCAGAGGTGGGCTGTGGTCCACTGAAGGTGTCCATGGCCAGCTTGTGCCGGAAAGCCTCCTCCTTCCTGCGATTGGCAAACCAGTTGTAAACCCTGACCTCTGTCACCAGGTTTGAGCCCAGCCCCTGGGCCTGAGATGGGGAAACACCTCTCTGAATACACTCTGCCCTGTTGGGAAAAACACAAGAAGAGCCTTGCTGAGCTGGGCTTAGTCAGAGACAGAGAGTAAGTGCACAGCAGAAGGTAGCTGTGGTCTTGCACACTCTGTGGAAGGGTCCTGCAAGACCTGGGGCATTCCTTGAGCTCTGTGGACAAGGAATGATCAGTGGCATTTAATTCAAGTGTGGCTGGTGTCAGCAGTGCCACTCAGTGCTGTACCTTTGTCCTGCCTCCCAGCGGCCCCAGCAAACCCCAGGAGTGCTGTGCCCCTCTTCCTCAAAGACACACAGCCACCCTTACCTGTTGCACTCCTCCACCAGTGCCTCCCTCTCTTCTTTGCTGGGGTTTTTCTGCCTCTCGTAGGCTTGGAACAGGATCTGTTGTGAGGCAGGACCCCACTTAAAGCGGTTTCTTCTTCCCTTCTTGGTGGGCAGGTCATCTCCCATGGGCTCGTCTGTCAGTATACCCTGGCCAGCGTGTGTGAATTCTGCAAGTGCAAAGGGGCAAGGGAATTTTTTCCTTGAAAATAAAACGGAGTAAGGACGAGCAAGGGAGAGCAGAAGCCTTTGTGAGACTGAGACAGGGCAGCAGTTGTTGCCATACTTACGCTGGGCCACCTCTCGCTGTTTCCGGACGTACCAGGTGTACAGGGCTGCCCGTTTTTGGGTCTTCATGGGAGTGCCCTTGTTGAGGTGTTGTGAGAGGTGGGATTGGTTCAGACCTGTGGTGTCCACCACCTCGCGCTGAGGGATGTTGTGCTGCTGGAGGTAAGACTTCACCATCTTTGCTACTCGCCAGGGATCCTCTCTGGAAGGAAAAGAAAACATTTCTCAGGGGAGAGAGATCAAACACCTGCTCTCAGCAGACCCAGATTTCAAGGAGGTGCAGTAGTAGCTCCTATGGGGCACTTGTCCATCATCACCATCACGTTTGGTCAGGCCAGGGGAGAAAGCTGCTCCTCGATGTGCTTCCTTGCGCAGCTTTGACCCTGTGTGCAGGGTAAAACTGTGTGACATTGGAAATATAGTGCAAAAGGTATAGCACTGGCTTCCTTTGAACTGCTGTCTGTACACACTTAGGGCTGCCCTTAGGAGGAGGCTTTGCTTACCAGGGGAATTTCTTTCTCTCTTCCCTTTCCCTACATAACTTCTCTATCCCCCTCTCATTAAAGCAGATGGGGCAGATGTACTGGGTTTTCCAAGACAGATTGATTGTGATACTAGACAAGTTGACTCATGCCCTGATTCTGGTCCAGGTTGTGTTGCCTGCAATGATTCAGCAAATGGAAACAGGCTGTCGTTATACTGTGACATGACAGCTCTTTATGCATATGTATATGACAAATCATCCAGAATTATGTTCTTACACATCTGCTACGTGTTACTCAAACACATTGGTTCACACCTAGATCTACTCAGAGCTTCCAAATGAAATATAGAACTAAAGGCAAATCACTTATGCCTACTATTGCTGCCCTCCTTTGGGTAACAGCTGAGGGAATAGAACTATTTGAGACCTGCTCACAAAATTTGAGGAACAGTTTGGGATTTTATAATTAATGTGATCCTCTGTGTTTTATTATCTCCAGTTAGAATATCCATTAAGGTTCTTGAGGAAAATAGAAAAAAACGACTGTGACTTTATGTGTATTGATTTCACCACAGCAGAAAGTCACAATAGAAATAAAGATGCAAAACTCATCAGTCTAAATCCAAACAGTGCCAGAGCATCTCTGCAGAATAGCTCCTGGCTCACTTTGAACAAGAGCATCCTTCTGAGCCTTCTGTGTGAAATGTCTGGAGGAAATGGTTTGCAGTGCTGTAGGAAGACACTGGTGTCATATTCAACCCCAGCATCAAAGGAGCAGTGGGGAGAAAAAAAGGTGCCTGGGATGGTGCAGAAACTGTCACAAGAGCACACATGTCTGAGCAACAGGCAGCAACTGTGCTGTTCATGGCTTTGTTGACTCAGGAGGTTGCTGGAGGCTGCACAGTGATAAGGAGGACAAAGTCCACACCTGTTCTCTCAGTACAAACACCCTTATCTCTGTTCCCCTGCAGCCCCTCTCCCAGGGGCTGTGTAGTCCAAGACTGCTCCACAGCAGTTAAAGTGTGACACAAATGGTGTCAGTTACAGCTTTTTGAAGAACCTGCTTAAAATAGAACATTTGTTTCTCTTTTACATTGGAGCACTTGCCATAGTTTTTTAGCATCTTCCCTTAACTATCTTTGTCTTTCAAAAGCCTCATATTGAGCTGAATTTAAGAAAGCTTTTGTTTCCTCATGTTTGGGTGTTTTTTTATTGTTGTTTGTTTGTTTGGTTTTGTTTTGTTTTTTCTCCTGCTGCCTAAACCAGTCTTCTGCCTTTGTACTTGATAGTCTGGCCAGCACCTGCACCCTGTGTTCATTGTCCAAGTCCCTGTGAGAGGAGAAAAGACTCTGACTGGGAAGCTGTCCTTTGTGATTTGAGCTCTGGCTCAGATGGGAAGAGGAAAGGCTGTGTTGCCACTGATGGAAGCCTCTGTTATGTGTTAGTTCCTTTCTGCTGCCCAGCTGAGCCAGTTTTGTCTCCCCTGTCGAGATCCTCACTTTGTGGCAGGAATAAACCAGTAAGTTCTGGGAGTCTCTTCTCACAGTGGTTAAAGACTTGTGGGTTTTGTCTTCTTTTGACATGGCAGGGAGCTTTGTGATGCAAAATAGTGCAGGGAATCTTAGTACAGTGTGGTTTCCTAGGACAGCTGTATGAAATCCTGGCTACTCTGTACATTGTCAAAGGCCAGTCTGCAAAACCAGTGCAGCAAGTCCTTTAGGCCCAAGGCTACACCACAGTCCAAGTGATGACTGTCTGGCCAGCTGAACCCTTGCTCAAATACACAGTTCTATCTGCAGAGCCACCATCACAGGCTAAGACATCAGAAGTTGAAACCTTTTCTCTTTCACTGGCTATGAGACTATCATTGACTCTCAAAGGGGAGGATTTCACTCTAAGCTGAGTTCTCCTGCTTGTTGCAGTCAAATCTCAATTGTTTCAGTGAGTCAGAACTGCACAAATGGGTCTGTCTTGCCAAGCTCTCCTTCCCTATCTCCAAGACTGTTTTCTGCCTTTTAGTTTTCCTTTTTCCTCAGATGCAAACTGTCTCCCCACGGTCTTGTTCTCCAGGGTCTAATCTGTCTCCTAGTTATAGCTTTTACTTCCTTCTTCTGAAGTCTTGTTCTCCTGCTCTCAGTTGCTTATTGCAATGTGAGCATAGCCCTTCTCCATGACTCATCTCCACCACAGGGGCCAGGGTCTTCTCTCCATGTCAGCTTCCCATTTTCTTAGTTCTGAGGTCACTTTTTAAGGGCGTTTTCACCTCCCTTTTGTTACCTGAACAATAAGTAACCCAGGTAGTTAGTTATAAACTCAAAGGGAACAAGAGGCTGGTTGATAATTTATAGCAACATCTCAAATTTAAATGGATCTCTCTCTCTCTCTCTCTCTCTCCTTCTTTCCTGTCCTGATTCTTAGGTGGGAGAAGCCTTCATTTCCCTGAGGTGGGTTCTGAATTGCTGCTTTGGACCAGACCCTGCTCAAGCAGAGGTTCAGAGCTGTGAAGTGCTCAGGACCATCCCCCGGCCCTTTCCTCTGGAGCTGCTCCACAACCCAGAGCCCAGCCTGGAGCCGGGCTGGGCAGAGGGAAGGTAAGACCATCATCCTGGCAGTGTTCCTTTCTGTTGAACTTGGCCTGGTTTGCCTCATCTTGGTTTATATGTGGAAATGAAAGGGGTGTGGCAGCTTCATCTCCAGATTCCCCAGCTAGAGCCATTCTAAGCAGGGGGAAAAACTGGACCTTTGTCATTATATATCTTTGTTTTCTTTTTTCCTCTTGGAAAACATGCTTTTATCCCTGCCTCCAGGGGAAATCTATTGCTTATCTCAATTTCAGTCTTTCCTAATGGAATTTCACCCCTTGCCCTACAGGTGGATTGTTGCTATACCTCTCTCCACTTGCTTTGCCTGCAGTAGTATGATCCCTTCCCCCAAGGTAGCCTCCTTCTTGCTTTATATTCTGGGAATATCTGGGAGTTTCTCCACACAGCTCTACCTCCCTACTGAGTCATTTATTTCTTATCATAGATGCAATTTGTTTTCTGTGTGGATTGATACAGAAAGAATGTTTTTATTCAAACTGTAAATCTACGGGAGATCAATGAGACATATGAAAGGACAAAATGAAATTATGCTAATTCCCCTCTAGAGAAACCTTTATCTGAACTGCTTTTAGCATGTTTTCTCTGTAGGGACAAAATCTAATCAACACCCATGGGTGCACACAGCCCTGTGGGTGTATCTTCTCTGTTCTACTCAGCTTTGACCAGAATTTTTCAAACTGGTTTCAACTTCAGTGGTCCTGTGAAGACATAGTTGGTCTCTCGATGCTGTCAATTTTTTCTCTTTCTAGCTCCTGGAAAGCCTAATAATGGACACTTTTCTTGGTTCTACTTTATAAAGCAATGGCTTTATAAGCAATGTCTGCAGTTACCACAAAACTGCCCACAAGTCAATCTCTCTGTTAAAACTGGGTCTGCAGACCAAGAATTGTTAATAATGCCCAAAGAGGCTTCTGTTTAAAGGGAGAATTGCCTCCATCTGGTTTTTGCATTTGAAACCCTTGTGTAGATGCTGAAATAGTTGTGCAAGCATCGACCTTTTTCTGAAAATCCCTGGGCATGGAGATTCTTGCCTGCCTTTCTTTTATCTATTGCTGGAAGTAATTGCTACCACAGACTAATCTGCCCTGCTTTACAATACTTATAATACTATTTTAAAGGACATTACTTTTAGGCATCTATTAATGGAAAGGCTTGATCTCAAAACCAAAATAAGTTTATTAGTATATAACATCTTCTTAGGGTATTATCAATCCCTGATACTGATTCAGATGCTTTGAATAGATTTTTAGACACACTGTTGATCTGATGAGAAATTTGAAATATGTCAATGCAGGCTTCCTACTATTTTCATTTTAACTTGATTAATTTTGATCTATTATAGACCTCCATAATTGTACTTGTAATTTTTTTCTGAAACTGAGGCTTCTGGTGTCTTCATACTGTCCTCAACAGCAGAAGTGAATTGCTCTATCCTGTAGTGGGGGAGGCTGTGACAGAAATCTCTGATGTTTCAGAGTAAAGCCTTTGTAATTAAGAGCCAGTGTGAGGCTTAGGAGATCCCTGTCCTTGCCCAGTCTCCTCTGTGCTGTCTCAGGGGTTTAGGTAGGTCCTAGAATTTGTCTGTACCTCAGTTTCTATTTGTGAAATGGAAATGCTGCCCAGCAGACTGACTGTTCATCAGAAAGTGCTCATGTCACAGGTTTGGAAGAGAGGTAAGACTTGTGGTGAGACTGGTAAGCACAGGGAAGACTGGCAGCAAGATCCTAGAAAAGCAGGGAGGATCAGAAACCAAAAATGGTGCTGCAGTGAGGGTGACAGGAAGGAATTCCCTCCATCCATGTGTCTGTTCTTAGCAGATGTCACTTCAGTCCTGCTTCACCCACTCATTGGAGAAAAAGGGACAAAGCCAGAGGGGCCTTCCTCAAGTTCCACACCTTCCTTTCTGGAGAGATACTTGATAAACCATCAAAAGTTAATGATCAAAAAGCTTATCAGGGTCTTTTCATCTATAAATTTATAAGACAAAAGAGAAATAATAAAGCCATTGGATAATTAGTAACTAGCCAGGGCCCGCCCGGTGCCACTGGGCTCAAACTGCCCCAAGACCTGTACGCAGACTCAGGAAGATGAGAAGGAGACAAGGATGAGGGGAAGAAAAAGAGTGGGAGGCAGAGAGAGAATCAGCCAAGGAAACAACAAAATGGGAGGAATAGCAGAAGAAACAATAGTGAGGAGAGAAGAGAAACAGGTAAAAAGAACCTGAAAGATGTAAAGGAAATAGAGAAAAAGATGCAGAGGAGCTGGAAGTGCAGAAGAAATGAGACATACTGGGCCAGGAAGAAGACTGAATTACTGGGAATGTTTCCCCACCCAGGTAAGAGCAGATCCAGTGAATTTTCCTCTCTTAGGTTCTGCACAGTCATCACTCCCAATCTGCCAACGAGCTTTCTTTTCAGTATTTAGAGTGAATGCTAACTCTTGTCATGCTCTTTTCTTAGCTCTGGCCTTTTGTGGTGGGATTTGATATTTTCTTAATATTTTCTGTTGATTTCCTTTGCTTGTGAAAGAGAGTGATTAGAAAGCCTGAGAAATTCCATAGCTGGATTTTTAGAGAAGATTTTATGTGCAGGATGTTGCTGCCCCTCTGTCTTCTATCAGCTTGTTATTTCAAAATAGCCCCAAAACAGGCAAGAATCTGTTGTGATAGATGGTAGGATGGGCCTGATCCTTGCTTGGACAAACCTCTTGCGTCTCCCATGGGAATTGTATCCCAGTAAGAATCCCAAATGGGAAACTGAGTGAATGTTTCTCTGAGTCTGTTGTGAGGCTTATTGGTTCAGGGAACATTCCCTGCCTTTTGATCTCAAAAATGCTTATATGCAAAGGCAAATTTGTGTGGCAGCAAACCCTGGAACTGTTGCTGTGTATGTACTTTGTAACTGTGACAGTTCTACAGATGGTAGAAGCTCACTGTTCTGTCCAGGTTTTAACCTCAACATGTATTTGGTGTGTGCTTTTTTGGTGGGGAAAAATCCCCACCAAAGTCAGGGAACTTCATACTCAGAAGAACAACAAGATCTCTTGATTTGCTTTGGCCAATAATCTATAGCAAACCCCAGTGAAAATAACAATATCATTCTCCTTAAATACAGCAGGGAAATGTTTCAACTTCACTGTGTCATTTATACAAATAGAGCACCAGCTCAGCATGACCAGGGTTTTTTTTCTTTCCTGAAAACTGAAACTGTGAATTGTATTAAAAATTTAAATTCTAAACCTAACATTCAGTCAAAGAGATGAGAGTTACACAGGCCTTGGACTATGCTGAAGCCTGATGCTGTAAGCATGTCAAATACATAATCAGGCTCCATAGCTTCCTTCATGCATTTTAAGTGAGATAAAAGGAAAATCTGAGCATTTATAAAGCATTTGGGGTTTTTGGGGGTGTTTGGGGGCTGCTAGTCCTGTCATGGATGAAGACTGTGCAGCTAGATCAATTGTGAATACTAGGGACACTGAGGAGAAGGGGAAAGGAAAAGAGTTAGAGGGAGAGCGCAAGAAAGCGGCAAAGAGGAGCAGTAAATCTGTCCTTACTGTAATAGTCTTTCCACCACAGCCTTCTGGTGAGCAGCCTCCTCAGGGCTCAAGTTCTCCAGCTCCTTCATTATTGGAGGGGTAAATTCCTCTCCGTCATCTGAGGTTTCATCTTCTGACATCCTGGACTCCCCCATTCCGTTGGGGAGGTTGGGGATGTCGGGACAGGGCTCCCCTTTTTCAGTCTGGAGGGCATTGATAGCGCGCTGGCTTTCGCTCTGGAGCCCGTAGGGTTCCGCTTCGCTCAGTGCCTTGATCAAGGTCTCCTTGGTCAGCCCCGACTCCAGCAGCGCTTCCAGCAGCTCCACTTGGAGATGAGTCAGCTTCGAGACCATGGTCTTCAGCCTGGTGTCTCTTGTTTGAATTTCAGGTTATCCTGCTTCCAGCTTCCCTACACCATGTTCCTGAGGTAACACGCCCGACTGTCAGGAGAGTGGGCACAGCACAGCCTCCCGCCTTTACACCCCCCCAAAAAAACAAAATACAAAATTGAGCCACTTCAGACCCCCCACGACTGTCCTGAGCCAGTGCTGATAAAGGGACCCTTGGCTATCTGTTTACATTGGAGCAAATGTAAATTCTCCAAGGTTCATATTTATCTGTGTGCTTTAGCAAGTTACTGAACTTTGGACTTCAGCACTGCCGCAGCAGTTCACAAAGTGCAGAGGGAGAGAAAGCAGGGGGAGGGGGAAAGGCAGGGAAGCAGGAGAGAGAAGGAGAAGAAAATGAAGGGATAAAAAATCCACGGCATGGAAAAGTGAGTATGGAAAGAAAACTAGGAAGATGGGGATGCAGAAGCATGGCTTTCTTCTGGCTCTGTTAGTTTTGGACAAGGAAGGAGGTGGAGTACCCAGAAGGAAGAGCTGTGCTTGGCTGCCCACGGTTCAGGACAAGGTGCTGCTGTTGGAATATCACAGAACCTGCTCAGAGCTCTGGCAGTGGTGAAGTACAGCCAGTGTCAGGCCCTGCCAAAGGCTTTGGGCTGACAGAAAGCCACACTGGCAGCTGCAGTGGCCTTTGTGCAACCCCCAGCAGAGGGCGAGGCGACCACTGGCTTTATGTGAACGTTCCCAAGCCTTGCAGCTTGTGTTCTGGGGCTCCAGCTGGTTTCTGTGGCAGAGCATCAAAACTTGAGTAGCTTCTTCAATTCTGGCTTTGGCTTGCTGGGGATCTTGATGTGCAAATTCTAGTAGTACCTCCATTTTACCTTGCCATGTTTATTGCTCAGCTATGAGCAGGAGCAGTGTTTCCACATAATTTGGGGGATTGCAGGGCTTGCCTCTGTGAGCTTGTGATTGATGTATTTGGTAAAGGATAGCCTTGGGTGCTGGGTCATGTTCAAAATCCCTGCTCTATCATCAACTGTCCTGCTGCTTCTGATGAGTGCTCTGGGCAAGCTTGTGGTGTCCCTTTATCATCTGCCTCCATCCCTTCTTGATACCAGCCCTGCTCTGAGGTTCTGCTCCCACCTGTTGGGTGATTTCCTAAAACATGATCCTTGGCTTGGCTGGAATCGCTTAAAACAGCTCTCCAGGGATCTGTATCACTAAACTGTCCTTTCTGATCTGAAATTATATGAATGAATCTATCTACTTTGAGTGGCTGAATTAGGGAGTAACTTGATGTGCACCTGTGGACTCGATGCACGAGTGTCTCATGCGAGTGATTCCTTGGAGGATGTAAAGCTGTTGTCTCAATGGAAGCTTGCCAAGGGCAGCTGCCTTGTCTGTACACTCCCATCAAGCCTGAGCTAAAGGGAGCCTGCTAGGGCTGTCCCCAGACTGGGCAGTGTCCCAAGACAGTGCTGCAGAGGACCTTGGTCCCTGTTTTCCTTTGTGGGCACCGCTGGCCAAGCTCTCCAGGCTCCTGAGTCAGCAGCTGCAGGACAGAGTTCCTGCAGAGGGACTCTCCTCCCTCCAGGCACCGGGCGGGGCTGTGTTAACTCTTGCCTTTTATTTCAGATCTGCTCTGTGCCCGGAGCACCACGTCCCCTCCCTGCAGGGCGTTAACAAAGCTCTGATGGATACGGACGACTTTGTGTGGCTAAAAAAGAATTAAGAATTCCGAGTCCATGTAAAAACATTTATTGTAAGAAATTTTCTTGTTTACATTAATGCAAAAAGACAACTTCAGCTTCTAAAGATTTTTTTGGGGTCATACTCTTAATAAAGAGTTGTGCTGGTTTTGCACTCATCACAAGAGCATTTAAAGAATGGTGAGCATTTTTTTGCATTTTACCATCAGTGTGTTGATACAATTTCCATGCATTTTATTTGATATTACAGTTTTCCTTTATTCCTGCCCCTCAAGTAGACATGACAACATTACTGGCAATTTTCAATTGTAATTACAGTATCCAGCCATGACACACAGTTTCTGCATGATATGTCCTTATAATTCAAAGATTTTGGAAAGGGACACACCAGACTGTGGAGCAATATGTGACAGAGGGGATGCTGTCATTCTATGTTACTTATTTCTGCCTCTCTTTGGCATGGTGATCTCTTTTACATAAACCAAGGTGGAAAATACTACCACTGTTCTTGTTAAAAAGACTTTCCATAAACCTGTTGAATATTTGAGGGGAAATGGGGACACAGATTAAGTTTAAACAAAGAAAAGCAATATTTGTCAATGGAAGCTGTAAAGAGAATAAAGCATAGCAACAAATTATGTCTATATGATGTGGTTTCAAGGATTCCTTATCCACACAGAAGTTCTGATGCTGCTGCTTCTGCTTGCCTTGAAGACCTTCAGCTGTAGAAGTTCTTTTTGAACTTTGAAGTCTATAAAACGAGAAATGCACATCTGTTTGTCTGATGGGACCTCCCAGAATGCTACAACTGGATGCCATGTGGAGAACACTTAGCTGAACAAGGAAACATTTAAAATACCAACAAGGAGGTAAATATTCTCTGTCACTTTATCCTGAAGAGCTTTTTCCCTTGGTCTATCAGAATTGTCCATTTTAAACTATAGGAGCCTGGACTATTAGCAAAAAAAACAAATAAACTGACCCACTTTCATCATTCCATTCATTGGAACCTGCCAGGCTGTGCCAGTGAATGGCTCAGCCCCACTGAGTATCTCAGATTCCTCAGTGCAGGAAAGCCAGTGAGCTTTTCAGTGTTTCTTAAATGTTAAAAATAGCTAGTGGTCAGACTGAAAGAGATTCCTGTTGTGAATTAGCCAGCATCCCTATTTTATAGCCTGGCATTAAGGATTGCAATATCATATTTCTCAGATTATTACAAGTGCAGTTGTGAGGTGATGAAAGAATAGCAGAGGTCAAGGGTGGAAATTAGATTAAAGTTCTATTGGAGAAAGAGCTCAGTTGCAGAGTGCCATAATCAGACAATTCTCCTGTAGCTGAATTGTACTCAGGGATTGTGCCTTGAGGATGAATATTTGAAATAAGGGGACTTGGGTTTCCTATACACATTTTTTATCTATTACAACTGCTTACTATATGTTAATTTCCTTAATTGTAACCAATTGTAACTTGATTCTCAAGTCACTCTGATTAATATAATTTTGGTCATTGTAACATGGAAAGCTTAAAGTTTGAAGACACCAAGAGATACCTGCTTGTTTTTCTCACATTTGTGGTATTTGGTTTTGTATTAACTGTTCCAAAGTAATCTCTTCTCCCCTGTATCAAATAAAGTGAGCAAATTACTTAAACTGAAAACACTGCATGAAAGTATGAATGGGTACACAATAGGAATGTTATTCTGATTTTACATGTACTGGTCTGTATTCTGCTTATTGCACTGGAGCAAACCCACAGTAAGGGACAAAGTCCTGTGAACAGCAGGGATGTGGAAAGTAGAATAGACTCCTAAAGCCTGACTCCTGTATCAACTCCATTTTTACCTCTGATGTTTTAATTTACTGGATTATATCTATTATGAAGTGTACATGATGAAAAATACAGTAATTTGCTGGTACAAAGCCAGTGTAATGTGGCTTCAAGGAGCATACAGAGAAGGAAAAGAGCCTACTAATATTTATGATAAAAGTCCTAATAGTGGGAACCCATAGAATTCCCTGAATAGGGTGGCAAAATTGCCACTGGCAAATGAAACACGGGGAAATGGTTCTTTTAATAATTCTTTACCATTTTACTGTTCTCCCTGCTGCGACTGCTAAATGCTTTACTGGCCTGAATGACATTAACATAATCCTCTCCTTGAAATGTGAGAGCTATTATGGTAATGTTCACCCTTATTTCTATTATTGGGGGGAAAAAAGCTATATGAGTACCAAAACTGATTATTTGTGCATTGGGAGCTTAGTCCCAAATGGCACACAGGAGCGTGAAAAATCTGAGATAATTGTCATTTATACCTTGTTTTCATAGGGTTGGGTTTCAGCTATTTGTGCAAACCCCGAGTATCTCAGTGGGGAAGGACTTGCTTGAATACATGGTTTTAATGTTTCCAATATATACCCATTTAGGTTCTAATGTAGTAGTCTTTGGTGTAAAAATGTGATTATAATTGAAAAATGTGATTTTACCAAGAAGGAAGCTGGGCTTTTCACCAGTGGGCTGGGCTGGATGCAGAGCTTGGAGTTGTGATCTGGTAAATCCATGGGGCAGAATGGGTTTAAATTACAGACTTGCTCTACACATTTCTCTACCTGTATGTGGAAACAGGACTGTGTACTCCTTCCCAGTAATCTGTCATTTTCTCTCTCCACTTATTCCTTGTTTCTACTATCAGGCTGAGGTTAAGATCATGAGCAGCTCTGCAGCTGGGTTATGGAGGAGTTTCCCACTAGGTGGTAGTGAAGAGAATCGTGTCACACATGGTCAGTGCACGTTGTAATTAGGTTTATAAAGGGGAATCCCACAAGGATCTTGCAATCAAATAGCCTAGTGTACCTCCCAGCTGTACAGTCAGAAGCAGATCTTTTGATTTTTGGGGGTTTTTTTCCTTTCCTTTTCTGCTCATATCTATGCTATTTGTTCCTTCCTAAACAAAGCAGGGTTGACAACTATACCTGTCATGTCCTTTCCTGAAGGGTGAAGTGTCTACATGAAGCTCCTCTGGTTCTCTCCACCTCCATTACAGCAGAATCAAGACATGGTTAGCTAAATGTCATCTGCTGACATTTAAACAACTTGGAGGTGAGGACTCTTTGTAGCCAGTACTTTCATCTGATTTTTCTCTACCCCACTTGCCTCTGGGAGCTGCCCTTCCAAATATAAAAATAATTTAAAAAATGGTTTTGTTTGCTGCTAGTTCTGAAATACCATGACAGGTTTAAGTAAAGCATCAGTCTACATCAAAGGTTCCAGGCAGAACAGGTATTTTGGGAGGACTTTGTAATGTCAGAGTAAACTGTCACTGAAATTCAGACTAAAGCTCTCTTGTAGGTCCAAAGAAAGACTGTACAAAAGATATGCTGAGAAAATTATCTGAGGAATGCAAGCAGTGCTCCAGTTTGCAGTGAGAGCAGATGCTGGGTCTGCAAGGAGGAATAAATTTCTCCTGTGAAATCATCCCACCGCTATCCTGTAATGATAAAGCAAGCTTGCAAAATCATTTAATAGTCTAGGCACAAAGCCTGAGATACTGGAAAGAAATTATACTTTAATTGCTCATCAGCTATAAATCATTTGTGCCAAATTAATGTGCTGGAAATTTTGCAAGACTGAGAAACTGGAAGCTATTTCAATATGAACACAAAGCAGTGATATTGTTTCATAGATACTAATATCAGTTTTACATCCTTATTCTCAGCAAAAAAAAAAAAAAAAAAATTAAGAAAGGCTCTTTAGTATCAAGACAAGGCTGAAGTCCTGATTTATCTTTCCCCACATTGATTAAAAAGGACTGAGGTTCTTTTTTCTTCTTAATTTTACTCCATTATAATCAGTGAAAAAGGGCAGCACAAACAGGCATTCCAGGCACTCAGGTTTGCACCACGGTAGAGTGAGGATTCCACATTATTTGTTCATTGTCTGAGCATTTCTGCAGGTATTTCTGCTGTGCTGAGGAGAACAAAAGCAGAGAACTTACCCATTGTGTAAATCCTACTCAGAGCCTGGGTTTTCTTAGGGGGATATGTGTATGTGGGAACACCAGAGTTTGCCCCCAGACTGACAGGGCTGGGACCCCACAGCTCCAGTTTTGAGTGTGACTCGTCCCTAATCATCTCATATCCACCAAAGCTCTCTGATCTACTGAGATAGGCACAGGGACTGTGCACAGGGTGCCAGCCAAGGGCACAGATCAAGCAGGGGAGGAAGATTTCCCAGGTAGTCCAGCCTGAACTGGATGGAAGGAAAGTTTAGCATACCTCACCCTCTCATCCTTCCAACACAGCCAGCTGCCATGACTGACCCCAGCAGGGATCCCATGACCCCGTCAGGCACGGTGCTTGGAGCATTTCCACCTCATGGTTGGTAAATCCGATTCTCAAACAGATGTTAGTAAGTGGGTAAAGTGCTGATTATGTGGGAGCTCTAAGGTCATTCCTGTCCACAAGGCCAAAGGGCTGTGCAAAACACTGAGGATTTGGACACTGAAGTGACACAACCCAAATCACTTGTTTTGAAAGCGTAAAGATCCAGGGGGAGAAACCCTCAGAGTCCAGCACCATCTTAAGAAAAACCTTGTTTAACTGGAGTACAGGAATCCTGAGCATTCCCTCCACCAACAGCAACTAAACCTGTGTTGCATATGCAGCATCTTCCTGCTGCAGCTCCCCAAAACTTCAGGTGGCTGCAACACTTTGCAGTTTCTTCTGTATTGACTAAGGAGCCAAGCTGGCGGGGATGAAGTGATCTGCCCAGGATTACACAGCAACTGGTGACACAACAAAGATCAACAGCGATGTTCCTTATTTTAATGCTCTGTCATGACCACACACCAGCCTAAGGTTTTTCCACTTTAGAGTATAAATGATATGGACAGCATGAGAATAATTTATTCAGTCCACTAATAGAAACAAACTAAAGTAGGCTCCAGATTCCAGAGGCATCTGGCATCCCTGCAGATGCAATGAGAATGTCCCAATGTCCCATTATTTTCTGGAAGATTTTAACAAAATTCTGTTGAGGCACAGAATTTCTTCATAGTTGTTTTTAAAACAAATACCTATTTTTACCAGCCCCAGGTATTTGTTCTTGTATTTATATTTGATGCAGTTATGTCACCTCTAACTGTGTGTTCAAACTGGTTGTTCTCCCTCCCACACTGAAAGGGACAATGAGTGGGAATGCACAGCTGGACTAAAGCCCCACTTGCACAAAATTGCTGCAAGTGAACTCCCAGGAGGTAAGGATTACTCATGTGAGCAAACCGAGCAAAAAGCACTAGTCCTGCATTTGGCAGAAGCATCATGAAAGGCTGAGGGTTTGGCAGCAGAAACCAGGGACGAGAGAGACAGTATCAATGGAACAGTTTCTCTGCCTGAGGTTTAATATCGGGCTGGCGATAAAACGAAGCACGTGATTTTTATTTGCTCAAAGTATCTGGAATGTTATTTTCCTTCCTTAAAAAAATCCCCAACATTTGGAGCATTTGATCCTGTTGGTTTTACTTGGTTTCAAAGATCATGAATTCCAGAATACAGCAGTCTCCATAAACACCTGTGCAGTCGATGAATTAACATCGCAGTTATTAATTGTTTTACCTGAACGATGCATTTACCACGCAACCCTCGTTCAGAGGTTCAGAGGAACCCCTCGCCACAGCGGCAACCCGAACTCCCGGGAAGTCACGGACTGCCCGGCCGCGCTCGCCCTCCGCCGGCAC